CGTCAGCCTTGGCTTCTGCACAGACACATTCGCACGCAGAGTATAGTCCACACCCATGCCAACATCCACACACCCATGCACACAACACAGGCGTCCACATGAAAAGAAGAAACAAGAGTCAGCAGTTTCCTATTTCCAATTTCCAAGCTTAAGTGATCCAGACAAAACTGGGAAAGGGTCTCAATTCGTTCTTGATTGGAAACACTGCCATCCACCATTTTACCGCCCCATTCAGAAACTTCTTCACTGCCTGGTTGCCATCGGGTCCTCACCAGTTACATAACATCTTTTGCTAACTTATTTCCTCCTATTGTAACCTACTTTTAAATGGCGCTGTGTTAACGCGCACGCGTCTTTGGAGGGGCCCTCCATTCCTTCCCTTCCTGCCTCTCTGCTGTGAGTCTATGGACTTCAGCTACTCTTGCTCTTTTGACTTCAGACCGTCCCCTCGGATTCCACCCATTATCTACGAGAGTCATCCATGTAGTAGGTATGTTTTTATTGGTGTGTTACATAAAATTTTATAAATACCTGCAAATTTATCCATCTATTCTGCTGATAGTAACTCGGGTCATTACTAATTTGGAGCTATTATAGATAAAGCTGAAATTAAGATTAATACTTCTTAATTTAAATATTGAAATAAATGTACAATATGTTATTTTTCTTCTCCTTCATCATATTGATGATATAGTAGAAATGGATGTTGAATGTAACACACAATGATGTTAGACAAAAATCCAGGACCACAGCGTTAACAGAAGACAAGCCATGCATACCTTAACCATTATACATGCTAAGTACGTGTACAGTAAATTCATACTAAACAGATAACCACAAACTTTAACCAAATGGATAATAAAATTTGACTCTATTTATTAACACATTTTAGCATCTGCTCTGTTTTCTAATAATACCAAGAAAAGATTAATTAAGATAAAAATAGCAAAATACAAAAACCTTATTATCCTATCAACAGCCCAAGATAAAGGATATAAAATGACATAATGTTACATTTATTTTAGCTACAGGGAGTTTTTTTAAAAGCTTATCAATATTAATTTGAACATTATTTACAAACTCATTAAATTTGAGCACGTAAAAACTGTTTTTAAATATAAAATTAGCACCAACTTACTGCCCTTACATTAGTATCACCAAACTCAGGTCAAGACCATGATTATTAGAAACTTGGAAATGACAGCTAACTTTCCTAAATGTGCTAACTGCATGTTCTTTCACGTAGAAGAAAAAAATACAGATAAATCAAGCAGGGAATTATGACAATATAATAGAAGTTAATATTATTTCCATCTTTGCGATGTTATCTTCCTTTAAATATGCTAAAATATATTAAGAATTGCTTTATCGTTAATAATCAAGTATTTTAATGTAAAGACAAAGAGCATGAAGCTACTACTCAGATTCATCCAACAAGTACCTCTGTGCATGGGCTATGAACCAGGCCTTCAAAACTGCTTTTGTGCAATGAGTTCTTATAGTGGAAGGCGTACCATGAGGGTATACAGGCTCACAGAAACAGGAAGCACCCAGGAAGGACGACAGTCTCACCGGCCTTACCTCCCATTCCCTGCCTGCGTCGTCCCCAGTGGGATCTTCGTTGGTCTCTGCCTCCGCCATCTTTTTGACTACTATGAAGCCAGGCTCTCGGGAATGCTCACCAGTGTCTTCTGCATATATCTCTGGACTCCACTGGAGGAAGAAGGCGTACAGGTGCTCTGTCCTGTTACAGCAAATGGTTATCAATAGTATAACCCGGTACCATCTGCTATTAGCTAAAGTTAAAGGACGGTACTGGTCAAAATGTTTTGATACAAGTTGAAGACATTCAAAATACACTAGACTTTATTAAGCAATAAAGTCCACTATCAGGAAGACAGTGTCTTTAAAAACTTATCTGGCTACTGTTAGGACATTTTGTTTGTGTTCTGACAAATAAAGCTTGCCTGAAGATCAGAGGGTGGAGCTAGCACTAGTTCACCATAGAGGTCTGTCATTCTGGAGATCTTTCTGTATAGACAGGAAACAGGAAGTTGTAAGGCAGGCATAGACAGGAGCTTGGCCCTTTTCAGACTGACATGCTGGAGAGCTGGTCCTTTATACTTCTCTGATCATTCAGCTTTTACCCTGGTATCTGGCTCTGGGTTTTTACTATTAAGACTAATTAGGGCCGCACACTAGGCTTTCATTTGTCAAGCTGTAAAATCCGCTGCTCTCAGACTTTCGTTGGAAGGCTTTTCCCACACTAACTGCAGTGTAAGCTTTCCTTCCTAAAGACACTAGTGAGAAGAAAACAAGACCCAGCATTGGAGCTGCAGCAGCAAACACACAGTAAACACTACTTAGGAGGCTGATGATCTAACAGTTTACAATTTTCTAACTGTAGTAAACTGTATTGGCTACTGCCCTCTGCCAGAAATGTGTTTAAATGTCAAACACCTATGTATTTATTTAATTAGCAAGGGTAATTAAAACACACACCCCCCAGAAAACAGGGACCAGCCAATAGCAACAGTTCTAGGAATTATGCACCTTCTCTTGATATAATAGGCTACGTGACACCTGACACACTAAAGGGCACTTTAGTTTTGCCTTCCGGGGAAATAGTCACCATCAACAATTCTAGCAAGTTTGCTGTCTACGATAATGTTACAAATTCCAGTAGTATTAATATTAATAAAAGCCAAGGTACATCTTAATTACTGTTTGCCATGAAATTTCTAGCCAGTGATAAGATGGTAGAGTAGTATAAGTTTCCATTAGGGAGGGCGGAGAGCCTTTTCCCAGTTAAGGTTGCAACACTTAGGTTTGGAACTAAGAACAACATTAACTACAACATTCTATTCCATCTAAAATTTAAGAAATAACCAAGAATAATAAGAAAAAGTAATTTTTTATGCTAAATTTAACTAAATAGCTACATTTTTCATTATAATCACTTTAATATCACTAACTTATTCGACTGCATCTGTTTCTTTCAAGTAGTGAACTATGCAAGTCAAACTATTTTCATTGCTAAACTCCCATTTTACAGAAGAAACACACAGAGGGAAGAAGTTGTTTATCATTAGATCCTTGAAAGTAACAGTATTCAAAGCAGGCTACACAGGGTTTCCAAGGGAGCTATTCTAACACCTACTCTCACCTGATTAGCTGTAAAGACTGCAAGGCCAGGGTTCATTACAGACAACCTGTCTTCTGCTTCCACTGAAGGCCTTTTTCCCCAATTAAAAAATAAGAGAATACCCACTTAATACATGCAGGGTTTGTTGTTTTTGTTTTTCTTTCTTAAGACAGGGTTTCTCTGTGGCTTTGGAGCCTGTCCTGGAACTTGCTTTGTAGACCAGGCTGGCCTCAAACTCAGAGATCCACCTGCCTCTGCCTCCCGAATGCTGGGACTACAGGTGTGTACCACCAACACCCAGCTATACATTCAGTTTTTTAGGAAGACATTTTTTAAAGTATAAACACTCTCAGGCTGATCAAGGCTGCTGATATATAATTCTACATAAAAAGTCTTTTTTGTATATCCAGTTGCTTCTAATTCACTGGAAAACACAGAACTGAAGGAGTTTTTGATGAGACTAAGCTCATCAATTAAGGAAAATTAAAACTGGGAAAGGAAAGCCAATCCTGGCAACCACTCCCCCCCCCCCCCCCCCCCCCCCCCCCC